ACACTGGTTTCAGACACTGCTGTTTATCATCTACGCAGTGTTAAGTGTAGTCAACTCTAGGTTTAATCAGCCATAATAATAACAGGATAAATACAATATGCTCTGAATATTTTATTTTGTATTTTTCCTTTCAGTAACTAATATGTACTTAAGAAATATTTTCTGGAAAAAAATATATATATTTTTTTTTAGTATTTATACTACAAGCCTGGAGTGTCTTCAGCTTAAAAAAACTAAGGGCAAGTATGGAAATATCCAGAGAAATATGCTGTGCAGAGACTGTAAATGCCCAGCACAGAAATACTTCATGTTTCTAATACTGTAGATGTAAGAAGACAAGATGTTCGTAAACTAATCTTATAGTACAGGCAAAACCACAGTAGAAGAAATGAGTTCACTTAAAGCCAAAGGATGTTCCGCAAAGTACAAATGTTGTACAAGTGGAAAACAGAAGAATGAAAGGTTTAGGAAGACTGCTGGCTTTAGCTGGCATTACCCATAAACGCTGACCACTGAACCAGGCCCCACCTGAGAAGGAACTGCACTGCCCAGAGCTACCTGTTTCTGGAGTTCCCAGATCCACCTGCATCCACCACACCATCCACAGGAAGCTTTAGCTTTAAGCTGCACCTCTGCACAAGGCAACCATTCAGGTTTTGCCTTCTGGGAACAGAAACAGGCTTTGCACTTACAAATAACACATTGTCACAAGGTCTCATTGTTTACAAAGTTTACAAAGCCAGGGGTGACTACAGTGACAGTGGAAGTCACAGCAGTTACTCTGTATGGAAACAAGATAAAATCCCAAGGTGCATCCAAACATCAGTGCATAGTCTTCACTACTGAAACAAAAGAAAATACATCTATACCCATGGACATGAGTCCTTGGGGGTTGCTGTACCCTCAGAGTAAGAAATTTCCCTCCACAGCAACACCTGGAAGCCCCTGCAATCCCCATGGCTCTCAAAGCCACAGTTCCTCTCTGATTTCTGCAAATACACCTGAAAAAAATACATTTCCACTGATTCTAACAAACCTCAAAGAATGAAGTATTTGTCTTGAACACCTCTGTCTCCAGGAACAACCTTTTCTTCAGGGTTTTCTTCTAAATGTCCCCTCTCTTTTGTCAGTTTACAGCATCAGTCCTAGCAAAGACACCTCATGCACTGAAAGCTCCCTGATGTTACTTTTGCTTTTGATCATGTACGTGTAAAAAAATTTTAAGTACATTTTAAAAAGCCCCCAGGAAATGCCACAGAATTCTACCATCTCCTGCCCAAGGATGGGAAGCATTGAGACGGGGTCTGGGAGGAGGTAGCAGAACCCAGAAGAGGTCCTGCCCTGAGCACTGCCCACCTTTCTCTGCTGCCTTTAAATACAGAGCACGTGCAACCTCAAAATGCTCTCAGTACCTTCACAAAACCTCAGGTAACAGTCACCATTCTAGAATATTCTAGGAAAGGTTATGCTACCACAGTGTTAGCTGACCTGCAAGAAAGCTAGATAAGGGAAGAACTAGAAAAAAAGAACAAGAGAAGGGATCTTGGACTGGGGTTTAAGAAACAGAAGAAGAAAATAAGGAACAAAAGTGGGCGTGGACTAGTGTGTGAAGAGCAGGAATAGCATGCATGTATGGCTCTTGGATAAGAACCCCATCCGGCTGGGGCAAAGCATCACTCATTACTGTGCAAGGCACCCACGAGTCCCTGCTGTTCTGTTTGCTAAAAATATGACAAACAATCTAACTTTTCTAATGGAAGTCAAGAAGAAAGCTCCTTCACAGCTGTACTGCATGACAATTAGCTGTGGGGTTTTCATATCAGAGTCACTGAATTAATTAACCTTTTCCCACTAAATCTAGAGATTCCAAGAAAGGTAGATATTTCACTCAACTTAGGAATTTAGCAGTTCCTGTTCCCTGGGTAAACATGCAAGCAATGTTTCACATCTACAAAATAGAGAGAATCAGGCACCCTGTTCTCAGAGTAAAGCCCCTTCGACCTTCAACTTCACTGGAGTTACTGGTCACAGCTATGCAATAGCTGGGCTCTGCTTACTGACTAGCAAGCTCTTATCAGTAAGGTATCCTGACCTTTTCCACAAAAATACTTATACTGTAACACAAATTATACATAAATAATAAATCGTATATAAAATAATTCATAGTTTGACAATGCATGCATTATGATTTTAAATCTAAGAGGCAAAGGTAGGAACTTATCAATGTTGTTACGGAGGAGAAATATTTTGAGTAAAGCTTTTGTCAGTTACGTGGACTTTTAATGTAATGAAAAGCAGAACTTAGAAAGCTTTTAGAAAAAAAAGAAATATTAGAAATTTTAGAAAAAAGAATTTGAGGACAGCAGCTATATTGCATGCACACAAACAGGTAATCCAATGATGTCTGTATTCCATGCCTATTCCACTGATGATTACAAAGAAAAAATATGAATAAAGACACATTCCATCTATGTGAGACTGAAGTAATGTTAAAGAATGGGTAAAGCAACATGGAATAAAAAAAAAAAACATGAACTCAACAATTTGGTTCTATATTTTTGGTATGGGTTAGGCTTTTGTTTATTTTTATCCCATTTTTTGCACGTTCAGGTGGCAGCAGCTGCCAAAACCATTCTCAACGTAGCTGAAATACACTTGCAGAATTTGTGACACCTCGGGACCGATGTAGTGCCGCAGCCCCTTGGACTGCATTTGATAAGCATTTGGAAATACCAGCTGGCGCTAAACACAGCTGATGAGTTATTAAATGTTGTTTCCTACAGGAAGGCTGTTATCCCTGAGCAGCTCCACGAATCACTTGCTTGCCTGATTCTCTTCCCATTGGGTAAAAGGGAAAATGAAACAGGGAGCACCTTCTTCTGACACTGAAGAGGCAAAATGCCTCTACTACATGGTCAGAGAGAGCATCTCTATGACTAAAATCTGACACTTTGATCTGAAGGCAGCACAATTACACACCCTTGGAGCCTACCTCTTCACTCTAAAGCACTTATGTAAGTGATATTTCTGGGGACACGTGGCACTTGGCATTAACCTCTGATTCCTTCCCCTACGCACTGCTCACTATTACCCATCTCACCACAAGAATCCCCAGAAGCCCAAGTGATCACCAGCAGAAAGCTGCTGGAGGGGAAAAAAATTGAGGGGAAAAAAAAGCACTATTTTTTTGGTTTAATAATTTTAGGAGTCAGTTACATGCCTGATTCTGGATTAACTTCAAGTACTACTCCATTTCAAGATAGGAGAATAAGAAGTGGGATTTGCATTTCTTTAAGAACTCTCTGTGTCCGTGAATTTTTTCACAGGAGAGGAAGGATAAACAAAGCCCAGCCAGTGGTACGGAGGGAGTGGCAGCCAGCACTGCATGAGGCTCTGCAGCTCGTTAGGGTAATTAACTCAACCAATTTTAACACACACCTGAGCTTTAATGAAATAACTGCTGACAGACTTCACAGCTGAGTGGTAATATTCGAGATCACAAGAAAAACAGTTCTCTCAACTCAAAAATAGCTTCATCACCCTTCTGCTAACGACAGGGTCTGCTCCTGGGGACCCTGCTCATGTTTCCTGAGATCACTGCCTGAGAATAAAATCTAAAAAACTTGGCCCTTTCCAGGGACTTTTTCCAAGGGCCTGTAGGAACAGGACAGGGGGGAATGACTTTAAAATGACAGACAGGAGACTGAGATTAGATATTAGGAAGAATTTCTTCCCTGTAAGGGTGGTGAGGGGGGAATGGCTTTAAACTGACAGAGGGGAGATTCTTCCTAATTAGATATTGGGAAGAAGCTCTTCCCTGTGAGGGTGGTGAGGCACTAGCACAGGTTGCCCAGAGAAGCTGTGGCTGCCCCATCCCTGGCAGTGTTCAAGGCCAGGTTGGATGGGGCTTGG